TGGGTGTTTCACCTACATGTTAAGTCTGTCTGTGTACTTGGTGCCCAAGGAGGCCAGAACAGGGCTTTGGACCCCTAGGTGGTCGTAAGCTGCCACATGGGTGCTGAAAATCTAACACAGCTCCTCTGAAGAGCAGCCAGTGTGCCAAAGCAAAACCTACCACCCATCACAATCCCAAACAGCACTTTCTCATCACAGAGAAAACACATCCCTACACTAAGATAATGTTTACTGACTTTGATCTAATAGTTAGAGACTGAACATACAACCTGTTCACAACATTCAAGTAACTCTAAAAAGGTTTGGCATCACACCAAACAAGTGAACAATGTGACCCAGTCACAGAAGAATGCATGACTGAGAAGATCTGACCGGTATATGTCCCAAACTTACAGTTTCCACACAACACTTCCTCCCCCATTGTATTGCCCTTTGAACCTGCCTTCAAAACAACTGCACTGCATACCCTATTGCCACCTGTTATCCCACAGACAAGCCTGCAGCACATTTGCACCTGCTGAGGGAGTCATTTCTGCACCACTCTGCAATGACTTGCTCTCCTCAAAGAACTGAAAACCCGCATGGGATTCCCTGTTCACTCCACAGAAGACATTCCTTGGGAAGAGGAAAGCACATACTGAGCGCTACTCTCCAAACACATCACCTCAGACAGCCTCATCTCTAAAGCACATGCCCATCTCTGGCACCTACCAGGGTCAATCAGTTGCCTAGGAGCACCTCAACTCCAGCTCAAGTAGCTCAGAAGATGAGAACAGGCTGAAAATGGAAACACATGTCCCCAGGAGCCACCTGTTCCTCTTCCCCAAATCTGTACTGAAAGCAGCCTAGAAGCCAAGACTGGCCTGCCTTCAGCCCTATATCTCTGCAGACAGCTGCTAGCTAAGACACTTTCCTTCTCATAAAATTCATGTCAAAAACATTTTTTAAAAAGTACTCAGACATTGGTTGGAAAGATGGCTCAGTGGTTAAGAGCACTGGCTGCTCTTCCAGATGACCCAGGTTCAATTTCCAGCAACCACATGGCAACTCACAACTGTTTGTAACCCTAGATCCAGAGGTTTTAGCACCCTCACACAGACATACATGCAGGCAAAACACCAATGAACATAAAAATAAGCAAATCTTTTAAAAATAAAATAAGAAGTACTCAGATGCTAAGAGTACTTCCTGCTTTTTCTTGGAACCCAAATTTGGTTCCTGGAACATATATATCAGATAGCTTTATAACTGCCTGTAACTCAAGCTCCAGGAGATCAGAGACCCTCTCCTGGTCTTTGAGGCACCCATGCACTTACAGGATTTACTCACAGATAAATATACACATACGAGTAAATAAATAATTTTTTTTTCAAAAAGAAGCATGAAAGAATCCCTCACTTCCATCTCTTATGGGGACCTTCCTTGCCTTGACTGCAGGGTCATTGCTTGAGATGGAAATACATCCTATTCTATGACAGAGTACATAAGAGCTAACTCAAGAAATATATGTAACGTGGAGGCTGAAAAGATGGCTCTGCAGTTAAGAACACTTTTTACTCTTGCAGAGGACAGGGGTCAGGTTCCCAAGCAGGCACATAGTAGCTAACTGCCATCTATAACTACAGTTCCGAGGGATCTAACGCCATCTTCTGGTTTCCAAGGGCACTGCACACATAAAATACACAGATACCCATATACCCATACAACCATATTCTCTCTCTCTCTCTCTCTCTCTCTCTCTCTCTCTCTCTCTCTCTCTCTCACACACACACACACACACACACACACACACACACACACAATTTGTTTTGCTTTTTTCAGACAGTTTCTCTGTGTAGTCCTGGCTATCCTTGCACTCAGTCTGTAGAACAGCCTGGCCCCGAACTCAGACATCTGCCTACCTCTGCCTCTTGGCAGAGGGGATAAAAGGCATGTACCACCATGTCTCAACTCAAAAGTAAATCTTAAAAAGGGACAAAGGGCTGGAGAGATGGTTCAGTGGTTAAGGGCACTGGCTGCTCTTTCAGAGGAGCCAAATTCAATCCCCAGCACAAACACAGTAATTCACAACTGACTGTAACTGTACAGTTCCAGGGGATCTGACACATTGACACAGACATACATACAATCCAGGCAAAATACCAACGCATATGAAATAAAAATAAATAAAAAAAAAAAAATAAGCTAGGAGGTGGTGGCACAAGCCTTTAATCTCAGCACTTCGGAGGTAGAGGCAGAGGTAGGCAGATTTCTGTAGTTCCAGGACAGCCAGGGCTACACAAAGAAACCTTGTGTTGAACAACCCCCCTCCTCCGGAAAAAAAAAGAAAAGAAAAAGAAAAGAGAGAGATATGTCATGGTCTAGTTGTGTCATACACCTTTAATCCTAGCACTAGGCAAACAAGCCAGTAAATCTCTGTGAGTGCAAGGCCAGCTTGGTCCACACAGCAAGCTCCAAGTTATTCAGAGGCCACTTGAGACCCTTATCTTTAAAACACAAACACACACACACAACCAACCAAACAACAAACAAACAAGCAAAAAAACCACCTTGATAATTTGAAGCTACTTTTTGCATGCTTTCTAACTTTCTCTGGCAGATGGAGCACCCTTGGAAAAAAATCTGAAGCACCTTAAGTTTTCCTCAATGTCCCATTTCTCCCTCTGACTAAACCACATCTCTTGTTTCCAAAGGGGCAGGGGTCCAAGCCTCATCTTAGCAGAGCACCTGCCTTCAATGAGAGCAAACCACACACAGCTTCTTCTAAGCAGATATTTTCTGAAAGGATACACTAAAAATGGGCCCCAGGGGTCAAAGAATGTATTCATCTGCCCATAGAAATATAATGTCCTTCCTCCTCCAACAAGGCACAGTTAATATACTTAGGAGGCTCAAGGTCCAGAAGACATCCTGGGCAGTGGCACTGGGACTTCCTCACACCAGGTGTTTAGCTAAGCTCAACACAGATTCTCTCTTGGGAGATCCTCACATGACAAAGTGACACTAGGTTCTCTGCCAAAACCCAATCTTTTGAGTCATGTACTTGACCTCTCTTACTTTAGTTTCCTCACCTGTTAAATGGGAACAATATCTACCTCACAACACAAAACGAATGAAGTACACATCTAAACACCTGCCTTGAAGAGCTCAATAAATGGTACTTAAAACCTCTGGCCCACCTTAACTGTAGACTGAGCTAGGCCTATATCCACAGCCTCAGGTCATACTATTGGCTTTACAAGGGAAAAGGGGAAAGGCTTTGAGGAAAATTAATTGAGACAGTTGTCAGTCAGCAAGCCAGGTTAAAGTTCAAATGCAAACACATTTTAACCATGCAAATCTCCCTGTTCTCAGACCAAAATAAATAAATAAATAAATAAATAAATAAATAAATAAATCCATCCATCCATCAATGGAATCATCTCTGCCTTTCCTAACAGGAAGCAAGGCATACTCTCACATGTGGGGGAGCTCTAGATGCAAGGCCTAGTTCTTCTCATTTCCCTACAGAGAAGTCTATTGTTTATTCTGTAATTCCTTCTGCTCACTAGATTTCCAGTGCTTTTAACACTGAAAAAGCTGTCTGATGAGAATTGTAGACGTCAAATGTCAAGACAAAGTGAGGAAACACACTCTTTTCTCTTCCCATAGGCACCATCAAATACACACCGTATACACTGCAACAGCATCACTGTGTCAAAGTTCATTCATAAATATCCACAGTGCTGTCACTCTGACTTCCACGATTCATGCTTTTGCGTGCTAGCCCAAGCACCCCAGGGTAAAAACACAAGTGTTGCAACACTCTTTAGCCTTTCACCATTTTTCTCAACTGGATAGGTCCTCCTCCTTTTAGAATTTGGATTAATTACCATCCATCTCACGGAATGAGATGCAGAAGGCTCTAGAGCCTCCAGTAGCAACAAAATTCGGTGCAGATGTGTATGCTTCTCAAAGGGAGCTCGTACTTTCAGATTCTCAAATGGGCTCATAATCCTCCAAAAACATTCAAAACCACTACCACAGCCGCATCTGCGACCATACTGAACCAAATGAGTTTCTTGGGTCCCCTCGGATAAAGAGACCTACAACCCTTTTCCCACTCCACCTCACCCCCTGAAGAAGGTTGGGGTGAGGATCGAACCCAAGAGCTCTTAATATACGAGGCAAGCAGATTACCACTGAACTACAGCCCTAGCCCACGGAAGTCTCTGCCTTTTGAACCAAATTTTGCTAGGCGTCTGACATCTTCTCAGCAACTAGTCCATGTCTCATACAAGGTAAACACGCTGAATCCATGATCGAAGAACTCTAAAACTTAAGAGAAAATACAACTATGGACACTTTTAACAACACGGAGAAAACAGAAATTTCACCCAACAAGTGGTTGGTTTTGTCGTCCTCGTCCTTCCGCCCGGCCCCCAAACCCCTCCTCCCTGTCAAACTTAGGCTGCCCTCGCTGGGGCCTCTAAGCCAGGGCTTCCCACCTCATTGAGCGTAGAGCAGCAGGCAAGAGGAGTACCGAAATGACCCGCTGACCAAGAATCTGGAAAGGAGCCGCCAGCATCAGGTGCTACAAGCAGAAACTCACATCTCCCGCTTCCCAGGACCCTCCTCCAGGTAAAGGCCAGAGGCTGCTCCTCCGCGGGCAGGACCTCAAGGTAAGCCCAGAGGCTCGGCTCCAGGCTGCACAGAGCCGAAAACAAACTTTCCAGGCACTTCCACCCCGCCCGGCCGGGTGACACCTCCCGGCCTCCCCCGCCCTCCGCGCCCTGTCAGCGCCCCCCGCTGCCGCCGCCAGTCCGAGCCGGGGCCCGCGCTCCCTGCCGCAGCCGAGAAGCAACCTCGGCCGGTGCCAACAGTCCTGCCGCCACCCAGCCGCAGGTGAGGCGCCGCCCGGCCCGCGACACCGGGCCGCCCCGCCTCGCCCAGCAGAACCCGGGCGACCGCCACGCTCCGGGTTAACGGACCGGTGCGCCCTACAGCCGCCGCGCGCTCACCAGCTGGCTGGTGGTCCTGGCCATGAGCCCCAAGTCGGCGCGGGCGCCTCCCGCGCAGCGTTGCGCTGCTCGGCGCCTCCTCAGCGTCCTCCTCCCCGCGGCGGAGCCCCAGCAATGGCCGCCCTCATCCTGCGCCCGCCCCGCCGCCTGCCGCCCCCAGCGCCACCCCGCCCCCGCGCGACGCTGGGCGGGACTTCCGCGACGCAGCCGCCGCTCCTCTCGTCCATTAGTCAGCATAGCTATCATTCGCAGCGGGCCGTGAGGGCCCCGCCCCCGATCAGGAGCCGTATTTCCGGGTTGGGGCCCGGCGCGCCTGTAGAGGGAGGCCGAGCTATCCAATCCGAGGTGACGGGGAGGGGCCCGGTCGGGAGCGCCGAGCTGTCATCCGCGTTCCCAGTCAGGTAAACTGAGGCTCAGTTGCCAGCTGGCCAAGGTCACACCTGGGTCAGCAGCAGGGCCGAGCTTGAACCTGCTGCCTGGACGACTTGAATTTGATTCACAGATCACGGATGATCTGGGAGAGAAACTGGGCTATGATTTGAAGGAGAAAACAAGCTGTCCTGTCACTCTTGTCGAACCTGTTTTTGCCTATATTTTGATGGATGTCTTTTTTCCCCCTTTTTGACTGTCTTTGTGAGCTTGCTTTTATTCTTTTTATTTCCTTTTCCAGCAGGTTCTCACTATCGAGACCACACTGGCCTCGTATTTTCGGCAATCCTGTCTCAGCCTCCCAACTGCTGAAATGACAGGTATGAGCCACCACACCTTCCTTTAGTTGTCATTATGACAACCGCTGCAGTTGTGTCTTAATTAAGGTGAAACGCATACGATTTTTTTTTTTTACTTTTTGTGCTTTGTCTATAGTGTATGTGTGTGTGCACTTATGTGTGTTTGTCAGGTATCTTCCTATACCAGTCACCACCTGGAGCTTGCTGGTTCCTCTAAGCTGGCTGACTGGCCAGTGAGATGCGGTGGTGCTCCTGTCTCTACTTTCCCAGGGGTGTAGGTACAGACATCCCCACCATCTCCAGCTTTCTTTTACACGAGTGCTGAGGACTTGTCTGTGTAGCAGGCACCTTACTGAGCCATCTCTACAGGCCTTCCCAATTTTTTTTCAGTGTTGGGAATTGAACTCAAGACCTCACACATGCTAGATTATCTCTAAATTAAAGGTTTCTAAATACACCCATAGCCCTTGCCACCTTTGTTTTTGTGGTGTTTTGAGACAGGGTCTCAGTTTGCAACCCTGGCTAGCCTGGCCATCACTATGTAGATCAGGCTTGCCTTGAATTCATGACCTTTCTACCTTTGCTTCCCTAGTGCTTGGGTACAGGTATTCACCACCCTTTCCAGATACTTATCATTTTTGTAAAGTAACAAAGTCTGCTGAAAATGACAGGGAGTGTTCAGCCTTAAACAAGGCATCTAGAACCAGGCAATAGTGGCATATGATGCCTTTGATCCCAGCACTCAGGGATCAGAGAAACTCTGTCTTGAAACACAAACACTAAATACAATTGGGCATCTGTATGATTCCTCCTCCAAATAAGGTTTAGGGAGCACTGGGAAAGCGGAGAAGGAAAGAATGGAAGAGTTCTAACAGGACAGTGATGCCAAGGCCTGCTGACTCCGTCATGGTATGGTCTTGGCACTGAGGGTCTCTCCACCCCTGTGCTCACCTACAGGATCAAGCCAGTCAAAATTCCAACACAGACAGGAGAGGGCCTCACAAGGCTCACGACTATCTCAGTGGTTACTGGCAGCTGAGGCCACCGGGGAAAAGCCATTCTTCTTTGAAGGTGTGACCACTGGAAGGTTGTCCATGCTCAAGAGAACCCCACACACATGCACACACAGACAGCACTAACCAGACTCAGGAGGTTACTAAAAGATTCTATCACTATCTGCCTCAGTCCAAAGAGTTTAACACCAGATGAAGTGACGTGTACCTATGGAGCCCTCTAATGTGGGAGGGGAATAACTTGAGTCTAGAAGTTCAAGGCCAACCTGTGCAATATAGCAAGACTTTCTCAAAAGAAATGTAGGTAGTATACAGCAGTCAACACTCGTGGGGTAAATTCATCATCCTGTGTAGGCAGAATGAACTGCTAAACCAGCAGCCATGGCCACTAACAGCTTCACATTGGCCTCATATTGACGCTAAGTGAGGAATTTTATCCTACCTCTTATTTGTTGTACAGCATCCCTGACATTGTCACCCCAGTCTTCAGATGAGGAAAAGAAAGCACAGCAGTGGCAGTTCTATAGTTTGCAGTGTGAGGACTGGGACCTAGGCATCCACATTCTAGAACCTATCTGTCAACCGTAAAGATACAGCCCATAGCTATCCATTCTCCTAGTCCACCATACATTTATAGACCTTAAAATCGGGGGCAACAGGGATGGCTCAGTGGTTAAGAGCACCAACTGCTCTTCCAGAGGTCCTGAGTTCAATTCCCAGCAACCACATGGTGGCTCACAACCATCTGTAATGGGATCCAATGCCCTCTTCTGCTGTGTCTGAAGACAGTGACAATGTACTCCTATACATAAAATAAATAAATCTAAAAAAAAAAATGATGGCTCAGTGGGTAAAGTGCTTGCTGTAAAGACATGAAGACCTGAGTTTGGATCCTCATAACCAATGGAAAGCCAACCACAATTAAACCCATCTGGAATCAGTATTCCTATGACAAGAGAATCCCTAGAAGCCAGTTATCCCAGATCCTGAACAACAGATGCGACATGGCTCAGCAGGCAAAATACTTGCTGTAAACCTGAGTTTAAACCAACCTAAGTAAACAAGGGTAAGAGCTAGCCCCTGAAAGTTGACTTCCATACATGTGCCACGGTACAGGTATACCCCATCGTATCCATACAGTAGAAGGTTCCTTATTTTTTGTGTGTATTTTTCTTCCATGTGTATCTGTGTACCATAGGTGTACTTGGTGCCCACAGAGGTCAGAAGAGGGCATCAAATCCTCTGGAACTGGAGATGGTAGTGAATCAACATGTGGGTGCCCTGCAAGAGCAACAAGTGTTCTTAATCTATAAGCCATTTCTCTAGCTCTATAATAAGTTTCTATAAGTTCAAGGCCAGCATGGTCTTTATGGTGAGTTCTAGGCCAGCCAAGATTATTCACTGAGTATTGATATCTATAACAGACACTCTGTGTGAGAGAGACACAGAGATCACACTCCCTTTCTCAAAAAGTTACTGAAGGATGTGTTCCACCAAAAATAAACAAAAGGGCAAACCGAGAGAGACGACATGAGAGCCAGAGGAAGCAAGAAGAAACAAAGAATGCCCAGGAATAGAGTACAGGGAGGTCCCAGGTCTTGCTTGTCTATTCAGCAGTCACTGAGAATCCCCTGTTGTAAACACTGTGCTTGGTAATTCACCAGTGAAAAAAGCACAGAAAGCTCTCCTGTGGAATTCCGAGACTAATGGGGAGTTGGGGAGAGAGCTAGCCAAATGAGCGAATCTTATAGCATATTAGAAGGTAGTAAGTCCTGTGAGGAAGAGAGAATCAGGTCAATGGTATTGCAGGAGTGCACAGGGAGGAGAGAAAAGTTTAAATGGAGAAATGCCAAGATCAGAGCTGTCAGCAGGAAGCACCCAGACCCTTAGCAAGCAGGCTTACAGAGTATTCCAGAAAAATACTAAGATTGATTCTCAAACACATAGAAAGTTGAGCTGAGAAGTTGACATAAAGAAAGCTCCAGGAAAATAAGACTAAACAAAACTCTACTCGAGAGATTACACATCCATAGTTTGAGCCTCTTTTTCAGTGCCTCTCCTTCTGTGCGAGATATTTGCAGACATGATCAGGTACTGACTCAACCCTGAATCATCAGACTCTCTTGACATGAGGCTGGAACTGTGGCAGGGTATTCAGCAGAAAAGCAATATATAACCACAGATGATGACTCTCGCTATAAAGATACTACTTAGAAAGGTGGACATAAAAATCAGGAAGACAGGAAGGGTACTCATTTTTATCACAGTCGTTTTAGAACTGTTTGTTTTGTTTTGTTTTTAACTTTATGTGTCTGGGTGTTTTGCCCGCATGTATGTATGAGTGCTGTATGTGTGCAGTGCCCAGGAAAGCCAGAAGCAGTTGCCCTGTGAATGCTGGGACTCGAACCTGGTCCTCGGGAAGAGCAGACAGTGCTCTTAATAGCTGAGCCACCTTTCCAGGCCCACTGTTGTGACTTTTAACTACTGATGCAAATCAAAATTGATGAAATGGTGTTGGGGATGGTGACTAACTTATATCATCCCAGTGTTCAAGACACCGAGGCAGGAGCTCATCAACCACTCTCCAGAGCCTCTCACCCATAAATGTAAAGCTGGGGAAGAATATTTGTGACCCATAGTTTACTACTGTTTTGTGCTGTTAAGGATTATGCCCAGTCTCACTTCTTCCAAGTAAATGATCTACCACTGAATAACATCCTTAGTCCTGATAGCACAGATAGAGAAAAAGCCCATGAATTTAAAGAGCAAGGGGTAAGGTACATGGAGGGATTAGAGAGAGGAGAGGGAATGGGAAAATAATGTGTCTATGTTAATTAAGATCATATACATATGTGTGTGTATGTGTGTGTGTGTGTGTGTGTGTATTAAATCCAAGTGGTAGTGACACACACCCAATTTTAGTTCCAGTACTCAGGACACAGAGGCAGACAGATGCCTGAGTTCAAGGCCAACCTAGTCTACAGCATGAGTTCTGGAACAGCCAGGGCTACCCAGAGAAACTGTCTTGGAAAAAGAAAGAAAAAGGGGGGGTGGAAGGATAAACAAAAAAATATAAAAAAGAATGAAGAATCAATGTCTTATTTGTAAAATAAATGAGGGCTGAAGATGTAATTCAGTGGTAGAGTGCTTGCCTAGTATGTGTGAGGCTCTAAGTTCATTCCTCAGTAACACTAAACTAAAAATGAAATAAAACAGGAAGGAGGAAATGGCTCAGTGGACATGAACATTAACTCGTAGGCATTAGGACTGGAGTTTGGATCCCATGAACCCACTTAGTAGCTAGGTAGGTACTCAACACTCAAGAGGTAGGACAGGAGATGGAGCTAGCTAGCTATACTAGCCTATCAGTAAGCTCTGGATTCATTTTAGAGCTCCTGCCTCAATAAATAA